TATTCTGTCCCCACCTTTAAAGCCATCCAGAAAGGCCTCTTTCCCAGAAGTCTTCTCCCTGACTCTGCCCTACTATTGTTGTGTCTGGGGTGATTCTCAATTTAGTCCAATTTAGTCCTGTTTGTGTCTGTGTCTACCCCACATCCATCTTACTGTAGCTTCCTAAGGCACTTTGACATTCTTAAGCCAATAAATAATAATCTGGTGAGATGATCTGAATAGGTTTATATCACAGGCCCGTGTAGATACCGAGTGAGAAGATGCTGAGCTTTGTGCTCACTAATTATTCCATCAGCAGTCATTTACTCAAACAAACATCTAATGAGGAGGATCATCCACATGAAAGATGACATGCTCAAGATGATGTAGAAATAAACAAGACAGTCCTTGCCCTCTGGTTGCACATGTTCTTACAGGGAGATGAGAAAATCTCTGGCAATTTTACATGGTGACACAGGCTGTAGGAAGGACCTCAAAGGCTGGTGTGGAACCATCAAGGTCTGGGAGTGGAGGGCGTCTAAGAACAGAGCTGAGGGTATAGGAAGGAGCTCAATGTGGTATGTAGAGTTGGAGGAAGCTTCGGAAGGGGGATTAGGTTTACCTTGTGCAACTTCAGAGGTCTAGATGAGACCGGTGGTAAAATTATAGAATGGTATTGGGAACAGAGAGGGACTTGAACCATCTGCACCTGGGTTCGGATGGTTCTAAATGGCATGACTGTCATTTGGGGCTGGATAATTATTTTCTGTTGGGGGCTGTGCTGTACACTGTAGGACATTCAGCAGCATCCTTGGCCCCTACCTGCTAGATGCCAATTGCACCTACCTTCCCTTCACAACTAAAAATACCTCCAGACATTGCCAAATGTCCCTGGGGTGGTTCAGAGTCACCCTGGGGGTTGAGAACCATCGGTCTAGACCAACACTCTCAGTTTACTATGAGAAAACTGAAACCCAGTTAGTATAGAGACAAAAATAAAACCCCAACTTCTGATCATAGTTCAGTCCCCTATCTACAGCACCAGAAGATGCTGCAGGCACTTTTCGGGATTGTTTTTCTTCCCCTTCTAGCTTCTTCTTGGTTGTTGAGGATCTGACTGTTGCTGTGTCCACAGAAGAGGGTTGGCCAGGACCCTGAGCTCAGCCTCAGCACTGGCATGAGACCCTAGCATGCCATTTGTGAATATGACAACAAAGAGTCACAGAACCTATGTCAGTCGTCGAGAAATTATTTGGACAAGTAGATACTTGTCTTTCATCATTCTTAGCCAAAATCCTTTAATAGCCCCTACAATTTATGCCAACTGACAATGTCAAACACCAGAAAAGACGAAGTTTCATATGTCTCTGAATGCAGTGTGGCTCTCCATCTTAGCATTTCTCTGGAATATCACTTGTCAGTCTATGGTCGTCATCATCCGTAGCTGTTTCTCATAACATGGAACCAACCTCCTATGATCTGAAAGGGATCTGAAAGCCGGCTCCCTCCCCAACTCTGAAATCTAGTAAATTAGACTCATGGCACAATAGTCTCCCAAGCATAACTAAAAAAGAAGACTATAGCATAAGTACTGGAGAGCACCATCTTCAATCCTCCTTTTAACCTGTAGACTGACTTTTTCCTACATAACAATGAAAATAGATAAAGTGCCTACTTGGTTTCTTTATTTTTCAATGTGAATAAAGGCCTTTGAATTCTTCCAAGTGTGATGAAACTATTTTCAGCATGGTGCAAACTGATAGGGGTAAGAAAGAGGAAATTGGATCAAATATTTATAAGAAAAGAGAAATGTAAATTTATATGTATTATTCATGCCATAAATAGTACTGCAGGCCTTCTCTGCATCAGGCAGTGTTCTAAGCATCAGGGATATAGTAGTGAACAAAATTCCTGCCTTTGTGGAGCTTATATTCTAATATGAAGTGATGAACAATGAATAAATAATAAATAGTGGAAGTGCTATGCAGGAGAATATATCAGAGTGAGCTGTAGAGCATGAGGAGGGAGTGCTATTTTAGGTGGGAAGATCAGTAAGGGCATAAATATGGATAAAAATGTGATTACTAACTCCACCCCAGTCTAATATCCGGCTGGCTCCCACATACTCTCAGTTGGAGTGACCACTTCAGCCATCCTTGTGTAATGAATGCATGTGCTTGACCAAATCCCACCACCACAAGTGAGTGTTGAGCCTTCAGTTAAGTCGATACCATTAGTTTGAAAATTACTATCTTTTTTAGGTGGCCCATTTTGTGTGCTCTATGTTGAGGGGTTTATTTTATTAAGCAAAAATCTGCCTCCTGCCACTTCTGCTCAACCTGTACATCTAAAATATGGCACCCCAAATTAGCAAAATACTCCTTTCTCTTGTGGTAAGATACTGACTCCTATCTTCAACCAGACAGTGACTGAAAGCTTTTCAGGGAGCTAGAAAAAAAGAGTACTTTATTTTATCTCATGACACTAAATTTTAATTTCTAGTCACAAGTTATTCAAACAAGAATTTGGTAACTGATGTAGAATTTAAATAAGACTTCGAAGAGAGAAAGGTATTGTTTTTTATTCCCACCCAGCGTTCATGGGATACTTTTGCTTTGCAAGTATCCAATGGGCTGCAGCAAGAGGAGAGAGTAGGATGGATGCCTTTAATTCAGTGGCACTTTGGGAGACCATCACCCTGCGGCTCAGAGCAGAAAGAAATATAGATATTCAGTTTCTGCGTACTCTGGAGTAGTCACAGGGGATAGAAGCCAAGAGGGATAGGAAGAGAGCTGCCTCCAGATTCAACATCGGCTTTTGATCACTGCCTGTCACATACAAGCTGAAACAGGGCCACTCCTGGGTGGAGAAGGAATAGCAAGCAAGAAAGCTAGCTTACAAGCAAGGTATCATTCAAGTTGCAACTTTTACTGAAGTCATAGATCTCAGGTAAGGTGCAACCTGAGCCACCCATGGGGTACTTTAACACAGCATCTCCATCTGAGCATTGTCTCACTCCTAGTCGCTTACAGTCTGAGATAACCCAGGGACCTAGACAAAAAACAAAAATGCAAAACATCTTTCCCCAAGTTGCCAGGTAGAAGAGCAAAAACCAGCAGCATGATCCTAAGAGGTCCCCAGGCCAATACCAAAGGATATCTTGAGTGACTCTCTATTGTAGGTACAGCTAGATGTCAGTTTCCTTATGTGTGTGATGTACATTATATAGTCTTATAGAAAATTATATAAGACTGTGTAAGATTTCCATTTTATTTCCTGATGTTGGGGCTCAGAGAGCTGCCTTCATGAGGGAGAGAGAATATTTTTGATATATAACTTATTCCCAGATGCATGGCTCTAATTTACCTGAACCCCCAATTAAAAAAAAAAAAGTAACATGTACTTTAAGAAAACAAAAAAATGCTTGAAAGTACTACTGTTGTAATAATACATTTAATTCAAAGAATGCCAAATCCATGTCTGTACCTAGAATCTAAGTACGGGGAAAGAAGGCTGGGTTCTGATGTGTGACACAGAACAAGGATTCCTTATGTCGTGAAAATATCTTTATCTCCTGTGAAATAATCTCCTCCAATAATGAATATATCTGAAAACTTGGATTAGAGCAAGGGGGAGTTACTGTATAGAATTTTCTCTAGGAACCTAAAATCACAGGATGCCAGAAGCATAGTTACTGTAATCCTCATCCTCATCAAGAACCGGGGTTGAAGAAGTCAGTAGGGAGGGAAAGTGGAGGCACAGGGCTGGAGACAGGGGGCACCTTTCTCCCATCCTGGGTGCAGAGCTAGGCTCCTGTCGTCCCTTCCTTTTCCACCCCCATTGCCATCAGACGCCTTCTCTCCTTCATCTGCTATGATCCCATCCCACTCTCTTCCTTCATCTTAAGGAAGGAAGATTTGAGAGATTTCCTGAGCCTCAACTCCCTGCAGCTTCAAGCTCGCCAGCACCTGGGGTAGTAACATACAGCCTATGCAGTTGGTAAGGAGAAGAAGGGGCAGGGGAAGGATGAGAGAGACTGGTGGGAAAGAAGAGCTGGTGGCAGATGGTGAGCGGGTGCCTCGGTCACCATTGGGGAATCTGCTGGCAAGTGCCATCTTGAACCTCTCTCTTCCACTTCTTCTCTGTGCGTTTGCCCAGAAGGCAAAGGATTAGAAAATCATTCAGCTTTGTTAAGAAATATTAACAGGCGGGCGCCTGGGTGGCTCAGTTGGTTAAGCGACTGCCTTCGGCTCAGGTCATGATCCTGGAGTCCCTGGATCGAGTCCCGCATCGGGCTCCCTGCGCAGCGGGAAGCCTGCTTCTCCCTCTCCCACTCCCCCTGTTTGTATTCCCTCTCTTGCGGTCTCTATCTCTGTCAAATAAATAAATAAAATCTTTTAAAAAAAAAAAAAAGAAAGAAATATTAACAGGCAATTTTATGAACTATTTTTTATTTATGTTATTACTACATAATGTAATAAATCATATGTATCATTAAATAACGTCAGGTTGCCTTTGTGGTAGTGGACTCTTGTAGGATACCTACTTAGGATTGCTCAGGCTTAAATCATTAAAGGAAATGCTGGTCTGAGGACTCTGACCTCAGCTGTAATTTCCTTGACTTTGGTAGAAATTATGGTGACACAATATTCCAGAAAATTACCTACTTGGGAAACACAGAAAATTCCATGTTTTCCCCCTTTGGGAGTTTTTAACCAAATAAAACTAAAGAGGTATGTCAGGACCCCAAGGTCCAAGGCCACTGTCTGTTATTAACCAGCTGCTTAATCTTGGACAGTCCCCCTGGGCCTCAGCATCCTCATCTGTAAAGTGACTTCTGGCACAAATGTCCATTTTTCTAAATATTTCTTAGGGTAAATGAAAACCAAGTTTCTGAGTTGAGTATTACAGACCCTTATTAGTGTATGAGGGGATTTGTAAAATACCATATGTCCTAGATCTGTAATAAACATGTAAGTGTAAGTGGCTTAGCTAAATAAAAGTATGTTTTCTCATTGCAGATAAATAAGATTTGCCAATCCCTGGATGAAGTGCTTAGGAAATCTTTAGATGCCATAGTCAACTGCCATTTCAAAGAAGAGAAAATAGATGGTTTTGGAAAGTTCATGCTGTTTCTTCACTGAATTTTAGGTAAGTGTATCTGAAACAAAGAATTTAAGATGGACATTGCACTAATTCCCCTTAAAAGTGCTTCTCTCCTTTACACGAAAAGAAAATGGGGTTAAATGTTATCAGTGTTCTCTACTTCTGGCGAGGGGCCGCACGGTGAAAGACTTAGTTTCTGTGCCTTTCATGGTTTTGTTGTTGTCAGAAATCACCTGAGGTATGAGGTATGAGATACAGACACCCTGACATTCTTCCTGGCTCCCATTAAGCAAATGCTGGAATACTTCATTCAATTCTAAAGGTCATCTAATTTTTTAAATATATGGAAGTATTTAGTATCAGAGTAATAAGCCAGAATGAGGCAAAACTACTAGAGGAAAATTTGATGGTGGTAGTGACAGTTTAATCATTAATAAGTCTGTGTGTGCAATACAAGGGTAACATTTCAGAGGCTGCCCATGGGGGTATTTTAGCCTGCTTAAATTCAAGTAGGACATAGTTTAGGTTAGGTGTGGTTTTTAAACTGCTGTATATGATTAAGCACACACATGGGCTCACATACATTAAGCCTGGTTTTGTTTGACCGTAAAATGGATGGATAAATATTTTTTTACGTCATCATCCATAATTACCCTGCCATGCTACAAAAGACATAAGCCTGCAAATTGGCGCTTTACTGTTAGTCGGCAATCTGCCATTGTCATTTCTCAGCAGAATGGAAAGGAATGGAGGAATTGAGTGGTGGTTGTCTTCAGGAAGTTGTGTGGCTTTCTACCTACTCCAGAGTCCAGTTTGCAAAGTGTGATTGTATCATCTACTTTGAAGAATGGTGATTTCCAGAACGTCAGAATAAACCTCTGTTCACAATTCTGAATAGAACAATGCAACTGACAGAGCATTGACCACTTTCTTTAATCTAATCTGGAAGACACTGATGCTTCCTTTATGCTTTTTATTAACTTCAAAGTGAAGGTGCTCATTCCCTCATAATCTTTGGGGTGTGTGAATTTGGTTTATTGAGGTTATATATGGAACTAAAATGGTGATTTCATTTATTTACAAGATGTTTGTGGAACACAGTTGCCAGGCGCTAAGCTTAGAGCCCTTTAAAACTATCAGTAAATCAATTTGCCTAGTGTAACACTCTGGAGGAGAAAATGAAAATGAGAACTATATTTACTGAACACTGTTTTCCAGTTCTGCTGGTCTATGCCAGTTTTTACCTTCTCGTCCGTGCCTTACTCTGCTCCTACTCTATTGGTTCCATGGGGACTGACCCCTATGGGCAGTATTTCCTCCCACCAAGACTCACCCCATTGTCTCTAGCTTCCCCCAGTGACCTTGAACTCTGAGCTACAGTGATATCACCTCTTCCCTTTCTCCCTTGAGCCCTGTGGGTGGTAATGCCTTTGTTTTCCTGCCTCTGCTGATCTCCCAGTTGATCCCCTGGTTAGCTCACAATTCTTCCACCATCCATGTAACCCTTTCTCTAGATTAAATTCCATCTGTTTTAAATATTTAGAGTGTTTTCTCTTTTCTTGGTTAGATTCTAATTGACCAGCCAGTCCTTCATTAATTTCTCCCAAAAGTATTAGAAAAAAAAATGAACAGGGATTACTTGCTTCTCCCAAGGAAAATGATTCTCAGGAGGTACATTTCAAGTTAAATGTAAAGTTGGATTTTTCTACACTGAAAAAAATTTAACTTAATATATTGAAAGTCATATTCTAAGCTATACAATGTTGTAGCATTAATTTGTTGCTGCTAACAAAATCATTGTCATATTCTTATTTTGCATATCAAAGTAATGGAAGATTTTTAAATTCTCAGATATGGGGATACCTGGGTGGCTCAGTTGGTTAAGCAGCTGCCTTTGGCTCAGGTCATGATCCCAGGACCCTGAGATGGAGTTGGGCTCCCTGCTCAGCAGGAAGTCTGCTTCTCTCTTTCCCTCTGTGCCTCACCCCACTTGTGTACACTCTCTCTCTCAAATAAATAAATATTTTTTAAAATTCTCAGATATGTACCAAATATGATTTTTAGTTTTCAAATTCATTTCACAAAGTACAGATGAGAACTGCTTCTTAGGGCCTCAGTCCCATTCCTGAATTCACATTTAAGTCTGGAGCTTCAGCTCTATTTGATTGTGGATCTGACCTCTCTCTTTCAGTAACGGTTGTCTGCTACTTGAAGATGCCTCTTGATCTGATCAGCTCACATTTCCTATAATAAATGCTGGCTCTATTAGAAACTAAGTGATCAGATGCCACTTTGTGTCTGTCTTTTTTGGGCAGGTAAACAATTCACCACTGTCTCAACAATCCCACTATAAAGGGCTTCCTTGATATTAAAGTGGCTTTTCACGAAATCACTTCACTTGGTTATTTTAAATGCTTAAAACTTGCTTTTTGCATTTCCTTCTCATTTATTTATATACACATTTTCCTTTTCAGTCTTTTCTCGGAGGTTATCGTGACTGTTCATCTGTCCATTTTAATGTATTATGGGTACATTCAAAAGGACATGGTGTCCCTTCTACCAACAATTTTCATGTATGGCACTGAAAATTCTAATCATTAACATTTCTCTCCAGCTTATGGAAATGACGCATATTTAAAAAAAAATACTCTCAGGGAAAGAAATGCATCCATTAATAATACATACTACATCACACATAAGTCTAATGAATTAGCAAGCCAGAGACTCCTGAGGGAGTGGTGCAAACACTCAGCTTCTGAGGATTTGGTACACATAAGTAGGAGGGGGCTACCGAACTAATCTCACTAACTTCAGGATGTTGCCTGGCGGGTCAAGGGAAACATGTCATAAAAGATAGCTCAGGCTGAACAGATCTTAATGCCATATTGGACGAAGGGCAGGAGGAGCAGAGGTAGTATTCCTTACACTAATGAGCAACATTGTAAATGGAGATTTTAAATCAGTGGTGCCCAAATAGTGCAGGAAAGTGCTTTAAACAAGAGGTAATCAGTAGTATTTCTACTGAGCCACAGAGTATGATATTGGAAAAAATCAAATGTGTTTAAAGGCAGAAATCATCTGTAATCCATCTTGGGATTCCTGGAAACTGGCCCAGTCCTTGGTTCACTGTAGATAATTTCTAAATAAATGGTTGGTGAATAAAGACTGAGGCCCAAAGCAATGATAGCTAATGCTTACCGATTCTTTTTTTTTTTTTTTAAGATTTTATTTATTTATTTGACAGAGAGAGAGATAGCGAGAGCAGGAACACAAGCAGGGGGAGTGGGAGAGGGAGAAGCAGGCTTCCCGCCGAGCAGGGAGCCCGATGTGGGACTCAATCCCAGGACCCTGGGATCATGACCTGAGCTGAAGGCAGACGCTTAACGACTGAGCCACCCAGGCACCCTAATGCTTACTGATTCTTACTTTATGCCAAACACTATTCTGTATAGACATATACTTCGCTTCATGCTTAAACAATCCTATGACATCGGTAATATTATATCTCCTTATTTAAAGATAGGAAATTAGGGCCCAGTGTAGTTAAATCATCTGCTGAGGTTAAGTTGGGGGTAAAAATTCAAATCTAGACAGCCTGGCTTCAGACCCTGCACACTTAATTATTATGCTCACTCTCTCTCGTGAAATATAATCGTGAAGTAACTTTCAAACACAGAAGCAACACTTTTTATTATTAAAAACCTTACATCATTTCAAAACATGCCCTAATCTTGAATGGCCTCACTTTGAACCACAAATTCCCTCTTTCAGTGTTCCTATTCTCCTTTTCTTTTAAAACATGACCGTCTAAATCAACTTCCTAATTTACACTCAGATTTCATTATTCCCATGCTTTAATGGTTTAATCTGAAATTCATATTTTAAAAATCCTATTCCTCCTTTTATTTCATTTGCTCCATTTAAGAACGTGTAATCTTGGGTGCCTGGGTGGCTCAGTTGGTTAAGCGACTGCCTTCGGCTCAGGTCATGATCCCAGGGTCCTGGGATCGAGTCCCACATCGGGCTCCTGGCTCAGCGGGGAGCCTGCTTCTCCCTCTGACCCTCTCCTCTCTCATGCTGTTTCTCTCTCGCTCGCTCTCTAATAAATAAATAAATAAAATTTAAAAAAAAAAAAAAAAAAGAACGTGTAATCTTGAGCAGCGAGTTACTTGACCTCTCTGAGCCTTAGATCCTTCCCTGAAAAGTTATGTTTGATTTGTCATGAAGGCTAGAAAAGAAGATCCATAAAACAACAAAGCACAGTTCCTGGTACATAGCAGGTGCCCATTGAACAGGAGCCGATATGATCTACTTACCCTAGGCCACTTAGATCTCAAAGCCAGTGCTGGCTGCCCCATCAACTGCGAACAAAATCCATCTCATGTATTCCTTAGTGTGTCATAATACAGGCACAACAGACCTCTTGAGTTTCAGGGCCTACCTTCGCCCCTCATCAGTTGGTCTTTGCTAGCACAGGAATCATCTGATCTGCCTTCTCTAAGCTGTGCTCTTTGAGCTTTTACTTTTGTTCATGCTGGCTCCTCTGCCTAGATGCTCCTGCTATTCATTATTCCTCTGCAAACCCCTCACCCAAGTGCACACAGGCACTCTCCAGGGACTTGCAGTATCCCAGTCAGTGATGACCTCCTCCTGGGTCCCCGGTTATCATCGGTCTTTCTCTGACTTCATATAGCCCTTTGGGCCATTACCAGATCAGCTCCAATTGTAGACAAGAGAAAGAAAAGGGATCTCATTCAATCCCTCACAGCCTCATGCCATTTCTCCTGTTATCTGTCTATCTTCCCTCTAAAATTTTCATCAAGGACAAATGCCAAGTCTTTTCTTTATCTTTGAATCACCTGTGCCAAGCTCACAGCAGTCTCCTGTTTTGGTTTTGAATGAAGTCTGGAGGGCATAGTTTGAAATATGCTTGAGTGCTTCGAGTGTGGTGAAGATCATAGTACTTGGTCCAGCATTAGAGCTCCCTTAGGGGACAGGGCACCTTACAGAGGGGATCTGGTGCCACCGTGCCAAGCACCAAAGCA